CCCCCCCCTCCAACTCACTTAGCACCCGAATGAGGCCCGGCGTAAGCTGGTAACACAAAAAAGAACTACTATGACACAAGAATAGATTATTGAATGAACCGCTCATAAAAACTTGTCGACAGACTTCTACCTGATATGACACAATCATCTGCACTCTTCTTAACTGTATCGCCTAATACCCAAACTTGTAATCGAAGTTTCGTTAACAATGCAAGGATAGGAAAGATTTTGCTACTTATCTCCCTTCATCAGAACTTATCATCATTCGAGAGTTCAACAAAACGGAAATGATATTTTAAAGCTACAGTACAATAGTGGAATGCTGGAACACCACTACGAGTTAGCTCAAATCACAATAAACAGTTTTATTCATTCGAAACAGGCACCAAGACCATCACTAACGGAACCGATCATTAACTTCTAAACATTTCAGAAAAATCTATATAGTTCGAGCTATTGCAGACGAACCAAACATATGCGCCTCAAAGTTTCAACTGATAAAAACCAAAAATCCATTTTCATTGATTGAAATGCACGAGCACATTATTGATCCTGAAAAAGCTTTGGAATATCTATAATGCTCAACAGAAATCCACCACCTCAGTTCTCGCTATTAATTTACAAAATTGTTAGTCATTATGACCTCACGCTAGAGTGTCTTTGGATGAGAAATGAGTACGACAGGTCAAAAGAGTGAAAATGAGGCATGGCTGATACAACCTATCTGACCCTGAAACCCTAAAATAATTCCATTCATTTAAATTAATCACTGAGTCACAACGCTGCATTTCAAACAAAACATCATGTTATAACACAAAATTTCACCTAAAATCTCAACAACAGGAATATTTCCGAAAAATTACATCAACGCGTGCTTTCAGACTTCAGCGATCGACCGACTGGCCGCGGCGCCGGCCACGTGTTGCAAACGCAGGACACCGATGATGACGCACCCTCACGAGTCACGCGAGATTGATCGCAACCTGTCCAGCATTGTCAGCACGTGGCCAGTCAATGTCGCCGTTGGTTGGTTAGTCGATCAGTCGTGAAGTCTGGAAGCAGCTAATTCATCATATAGGTTGACCATTAATCATTCCAGAAGGGAATAATCAATCTGTATCTTTAGTAGCAGGAACGACGCAGTGAGGAAGGCCTCTTGTCAGGTATTAAAGAGCTGTATTGTAAGCCATTCAATACCGTCCCAGCGGTATTGAATGGCAATGAAGATTGTGCACGATATTACAGAAAACGTTGCCATGTATGGAACCTGCAATAAGGAAATATCAAAGTTAGAAGATTTTTGGAGAACAAATCTATGTGAACATTTTGTTATATTTACGAGTACCGAGCGCTAGAGATAATTTTTATTTCAAAATACTGGATAGGATACTTTTCCCAAAAAAAAAAATGCCCTGTAACGTAATAGAACTGCTGTATGACAGCCAAAGTAGACAAATTAGAAACCAATCATCAAACAGAACGCAGCGTGTCTCTTTCGTATTAATAAATCATGCTCTTCCATCAGAGGACTCGCTGTAGCAAGTTTATCTTGCGCTGTGGTTCGAAGGAATGAACAAAAAAACTAATTTCAACGACGGCAACGAGGTTATCAGGGATATGTAAGCGCTGTGAGTTGGCCTCACCTAATGGCTTAGAGCCTGAACGAGGTGGTAGGGTGAAACATGTGAGCGTGCCCTGCTTTAATAGGTGTGGCGCAGCTGAATCGAAGTTGTCGCTTCGCGGCGATAGGAGTGGAAACATTGTTGCGAGTAAAAGATACAGGAGCAAAGGAAGGAACCATGCCAAAAATAATAATCGTAATCGATCAAAATGTATGATCAACGCTAGAACTGCAATGTCGAGGCAAGTGGTCCGCGACTGCCGCGTAAGGTGAGTCGATAACGAAAAACCGATTCAACTGCTCGTTTCCTGCTATCTTAGTTCAAGTATTATGATAAAAAAGTTTTACATTTTGCTTTTTTTGGTAACTTTCAATTTTTAACATTTTATCACATGCTTTAATGTAAAGTTCAGCTACTCTTCAGTCATGCGAGAGGCTATCCTGACCGACATGCTGCTTCGCGTTCAAAGCTGCAAATAGGACTTTTTTCAAAAGAAGAAACATGGCAGCTAGACATAGGAGTCTCCAAATGGTACGACCAATGCTGAAGTGGACCACATACTAATGAACGAAAAGCGCTCACTGGATATCGGTGTGATATAATCTTTCTGCAGCGATCATCAACTCCTTTGTGATGAGGTCAGATTCAATCGCAACTTGGCGAAGATCTCTCGACATCGCGCAAAGAGCTCTAAGCAAGGTGTCTATGACAGAGACGTTCTGGACAACCTGCTCAGGACAAAAAGAAGCCTAGCGATTGACCAGAACGCCATACATCCTGAAAAGCTGCTAGCAAATATCAGCTGCAGTGAGGTAGTGCTACTAGAACTTCAGCTATACAGCGAGAGGAGACTAACTGAGGCACTCTGATCAAAATTAATCTTAGGAAATGCTGACGGGATCCAAGACCACAAAACACCGCTTTCACTTCCTTACAACTCTTACAACACAAGATGTGAGATCGAGGAAGTTAGAGTTTTTACACTAAATTGTACCGGTCCATGACATACATGGAAACCCAAAAAAAGTGAGGGAACAGCACGGATCTTCCTTCCTTGATAGGTGAGAGTTGCGATTGCAAACTAGCAAAGGGGCACAATTCCAGGCCAGAAAAGGTCTCAGCGAACCTTTGCCGTGCAGAAGGCCACGAACTTTATGCGCTTTTCGCAACTTATATGTCATGCTATCTTCAGATGAAGGATTCTGACCGGTAGAGGATAGCGCAGATGGTCATTTTTCACAAGAAAGCAGACCGGGATGATCTCTCAACTACTATCCCTCCCCTTCCCATTAGCTTGTTGAGTGTCATTTACAAGTGTTACGAGATCATTTTGATGAGCACATCGCAAACGTTGAATAAAGCTCAACCTTCTTAACAGGCTGGATTTTGAAAGCAATTAAGCTGCTCTGACCACATCCAAGTGGTCGCGATGATCATCGAAGTGGGCCGCAAACTACGAATGCCCCTTGTCCTAACCTTTGTTGACCATAAAAAAGCGTATAAGAACTCTAGCCTAGTAGTCGATGCAATGCAACGGTGCAGCTACTCCAGCGACTTCTCGCCATTCCCAATGCAAAATGTGTGAGACAAGGCGACATTATTTCGCCGAAACTGTTCACAGCCGCGCTGCAGTGGCTTATGAAGTCGCTAGACGGGGTGGGGGAGCATTCGTGTGGGTGGACGGTTCTCTCAAATCTTCGTTTTGCGTGGGACATTTTTCTCTTTTCAACCGGCTTGCGGAAGCTGAGATTATGCATGCAGAACTCAATGAAGCAGGAAAGAGGGTGGGGCTACGGATCAACCAAAAAGACACATTTCATGAAGAGTAGCGCTTGGGCTGGCGAGGGTGAACTAAAATAAGTGGTACACCTATCAAGGAGACTTCGTCATCCATTTATCTCAGGTGTTCTATGAACATGGACAACGAAGTGAAGGAAGAACTGGTAAGACGACAAAAAACAGCGTGGGCGGCATTCGGCCCCCCTAGAAGAAGTCACCAATCACCTGACTGATCCGGAAATTCGCGCTGATCTGTACAATTCCACAGTTCTCCCTGCGCTTTCCTACGCGTCGGAGACATGGGTAGCCAGTACATACACGTCGATGTCTTTGAGCAAAAGTCTTAGAGCACTGAGCGATGTCTTCGGAGGTTCGACCGGCTCACTCAATATCGAGTTCGACTTCGTAGATATCCACAGAAAGTCTTTCCCTCGTGATCTAGTGCAGTAAATGAAAAATGGGGAATTCCGACGGGCATGTCATGAGAGGAGAAGAACGGCAGGGATAGTGGAGTAGGTAAGAATGTAACCTCACGTCTGCACCTAAAGAGAACACGAGTTTGATCCCTTCCAAAGCAGTTCCACGCCTTGCAAAAATTGCAAAAATAGTATAGGTACAAGCGTCGGGCCCAGGTTGACGGCCGGCTGATGGAGAAACCTAGTCACAACAGCCATGTCTAAAGTCTCAAAAAGTATCAGTAATAAAGCTAGGACGTCACCCGGAAGTGGCGGGCAGGACCACCACCGAATCCTGTGGACAGTATGCGAGAGCTACTGAGTAGTGACAGACTTCGGCCAAAGAAATTAGTTTGAATGGGGACACTGAACGTCGGTTCACTTACTGGGAAGACCCGAGAGGTTGCTGTCCTTATGGAGCAGTAATATCCATGTCCTATGCCTTCAGAAGACCCACTGGAAACCAGCAATGACCAGTGAAATTGGAGAGGGTGTCAGCTTTTTTACAACAGAGAAGTCATCAAACGAAATGGTGTGGCCATAGAAGCGGCAGAGTCCCGTCTTCGTCTTCAACAGGATCAGCAGTCGAGTCATGACTGTGAGGATAGACATGAAGGGGAGGTGTAGCGGATAGGAATATCCGTTTACGCACCACAAGTCGATGCCCGGTCTACGAAAAAGATGAGTTCTATCTGAGCCCTGACGAAGCCATCCTATTAGTTCCGGAGAGGACTACCTCACCATCGAAGGTGATCTGAATGAGCACGTCGGCAGTGAAAGGAGGGGTCGGAAAGGGTACACGCAGGTAGAGGAATAGGAGTCAGAGCGAAGAAAGAGAGTGAGTTCTCGATTCGGCAGTAGCCGATTATCTAGCAGTCTGCAGCACCTTCTTCGCGGAAAGGGAGACTCAGAAGGAAAGCTACAGCAGTGGAGGGAAGGAAACTCGAAAACTCAAAGCTGTAAAGGACACAAGGCACTACCTGGAGAATATCTGGTCCCACAAAACAGGCCTCTCTTAGCAGACATAGCCATCACTCTTCCCAAGAAATCAAAGACAAGAACGGAACGAATGTCCCGGTGATGGAAGCTGTACCGAGTGGAAAGGGAAGGCCTCAAAGAAAAGATACTAGAGACTGGTCTTCCAGTTCCCAAGGGTCGCTCCAGCAGACCTGAAGCAATGCCGTAAAAGACATCCTACGATGTGCAAAGAAAACGCTGATGGAAACTCGAGGTGGATTCCGAGAGGACAAGGAAGAATGGTCCTGGAACGATTAAGTCCAGCGAGTCGTGAGGCAGAGGAAATCGGCCAACAAGGGCCGACAAAGGACACGAACTACAGAAGGCCTAGGTGCTAGCGGAACTTTCAAGAGGCTTGCCAAGGCAGCCGTAACGAAAGTAAAGAATGGACGCCGACGGAAATGGACGCCTTGCTCAAGAAACTCGATGACCGAGAACAGGAGAAGTTCGTCTTCCGATTAACGGAAGCGCGACACTGTGCTACTAAACACATCAGGGTGATGAAGATTAGGAACGGGGGGGGGGGGGGGGGGGG